ATCCCATCCCGCACGGGGGGGGGTGGGATCCCATCCCGCACGGGGGGGGATCCCATCCCGCACTTTCACTTGACCAACAAACGGGTTTACTCACGATGCAGCAACTTGGTTGAACTCACCCATACCGCCAAGAACACTCACGCGGATGCAGACAGATACACCCCACAACTGGAAACATGACGCCAAAGAAGATCGACCTGCCTCCCAACACAGAAACCGTGGTCCGGGAACAGATGCGCCTCCATGAGTACTTCGCCACTACCGTGTCCGAACACCCGCTGCAACTCGTCATTGACCACCCAGACTTTGAAGAAATAGATCCCGCCGACGTGCAGGAATTGCTCAAGCAACAACACCTCGGAACGAGACAACTACAAACAGCTCAAGACCAACAGGCGGAGGGCCATGGGACTGAGGAAAGTCAACTCGATCCCGACGAGTGGTACGAACCTGGTCCTCGTCATTACCTGTACGACATCGTCCATGAAGCTCCTCCGCCTGCAGCCACTGCATTCTGTTTTACACCCCGTGCTCCCAACAAGTCAGTCACTCTTCCTTACGTGGTGGAGGAACAGTATATACCAGTTACGAGCCCCACCGAGGTGGTGTACAAGGACAAGTATGTCTGGCTGCCGAAGATAATGTACAATGCTCTGGACGACCCCGAGTGGTCCAATAATCCGGAACATTTCCAACTCCTTGGCTCCGACACCGAGCTCCCTTCATCGGCCATCCCGGCATTCCAGTGGGAATACACGACCAGCCAAGCCGAAGACTTCCAAGGCGGTGAAGCGGGGGACTATCAGACGCAACCTGGCGGCTGCCAAGATGGAGACTACCAGCCCCAACATGGAGACTATGAAGCCGAACCTGGAGACTCAGAACCGGCAGGCGTGTGTAGTTGACGAGGGGAGCCACCTAGACCAAGAACCGGGCCAGCGTTTTTCGTGGTCTTAGGGAGCGTGGGATTGTAGCCAGAAGGACGAGGCGAGTGCAGACAACCGGTCAGTTGACCGGCGACCAGACATGCTACTAGCAGCAGCCAGCGAGCCGGCTTGGTGACTCGGTTGACAATCGGATGGGTTGCCAACACGAATGCATGGAGCAGAGGATGGAAGGTTGCGTGGCACAAAAAGAGAAGTGTGTGTGTAAGAGGTGCACGAGGGCTGCTGTGACGAGGGCTGTTGCGACTCAGACGGATGTTGCACCAGTGCTGCGTCGCAGCCACCACAACGTGCGCTCGAAAAGGGCTTCAAGTCGGCATCCATGTGTTTCGACGCCATTTTTTGTTGGGTCTTAGTTCGGCAAGCACAGCGAACCGGGCTTGTTGGAGCTTCCACCACCTGACGAGGGCGTAGTCGCGGTGGTCGGAGCAGTGGTGGCGGTGGTCGGAGCAGTGGTGGCAGTGGTCGGAGCAGTGGTGGCAGTGGTCGGAGCAGTGGTGGCAGTGGTCGGAGCAGTGGTGGCAGTGGTCGGAGCAGTGGTGGCGGTAGTGGGAGCGGTAGTGGGAGCGGTAGTCGGTGTGGGGGCAGGTGTGGGCTGCGATCCGCACTTGCACTGGCACTTCTGTCCGCATTTACAGCCGCAGGTTTGGCCGGAGTTACCGCCGCAAGTGGCAGTCTGACGCCAGTTGCCGCTGGAGTCGGTCGCGGGATTTTCGTTAAGGGACCACCAAGAGTTGGCATAGGCACTTTGTTGGTGTGTGACCTTGTTGTCGGGCATAGCATAGATCTTGTCCGCCGCCCAGGCTTCGGCTGAACAGTCATCACTTGCTTGTAACTTACGCGGCGCTGCAGCCGTCGCCACGCCCGTGCCCCCTTGGTACAACCCAGCACCGATCTGCGCCGCACCTTCGCCCATCTTCCGCACACCTGCACCGGCTTCTCGCCCACCCGCCGACAGCGCTTCACCCGCACGCTGCGCCGTCCCCGACGCGTACTGACTCGCCTGGTGCGCACCGCGGCCCGTTGCCGCTGCCGCGTTGTTCAAAGAGTCGCCCACAGTGCCGACCGTGTGTCTGGCATACGAAGCCGTCTGCTGACCGGCCCGCTTGACTCCGTCGACGGTCGAATCCTTGACCGAACTGGCCGAGTTGGAGACCATGTTCACCGATCGCTGAGCAGTTTCCCTAGCAGCGCCCGCGGCGTTGTTGAGGGCACCACCAGCGGCGTTGACCGTATGTCTGGCATACGAAGCCGTCTGCTGACCGGCCCGCTTGACTCCGTCGACGGTCGAATCCTTGACCGAATTCGCCGAGTTGGAGACCATGTTTGCGGATCGCTGAGCGGTATCCTTCGCAGCGCCTGCGACGTTATTGAGGGCGTCACCAGCGGCATTGACCGTATGTCTGGCATACGAAGCTGTCTGCTGACCGGCCCGCTTGACTCCGTCGACGGTCGAGTCCTTGACCGAATTCGCCGAGTTGGAGACCATGTTCACCGTTCGCTGAGCAGTATCCTTCGCAGCGCCTGCGGCGTTATTGAGGGCACCACCAGCGGCGTTGACAGTCTGTTTAGCATAGGAAGCCGTTTGCTGAC